CTATCTATCTATCTATCTATCTATCTATCTATCTATCTATCTATCTATCTATCTACCTATCTATCTATCTCTATTGTCTGTCTTACTTTTTCTGGTGTCACAAAGACATAATATGAAAGCGCAAGCACCGGCATATAAAAAGAAAAACGCTTGGACAGAAGTGAAACATTCCACTTGGATACAGCAACGGAGGGGGGGGGGGGAGTGGCAGGAATTTTACAAAAACAACAACAAACACAACAGCAAAACAAAAAACAATATTAACAACAACAACAACAACAACAACAGTAACAACTTGAGGTTGAAAAAAATCTAGAGCTTGAACTTATAAGTTACGATGATAAAAGGTATACTTTGCTTATCTTCCATTGAAAGAAATAGTTCGTGGTGGGTTTTTTTCTAAAGAATGCTAGACTCCGCTGACCTACCCATCGAGTTGCCTGACCTTCTCAGCTGATACGCAAGACGTTGGTGATGCACTTGACGGATTACGCCTGTAAAAGGTCAGAATGAAATGAAGTCTTACTAGCATTTACGAAAGGCCCCATCGCTTTTCACACTGTTAAAGGTTTCAATTTAGTAGTAACTTTCTGACCTGCCGTACGCTACCGCCCACATCAAAGCAAGCCAGATGTCCTGGCAAGGGTTATCGTGGGCACAAATGTTATGTTTGTCCTGTCGCTCAGCGTGCCATCCGCTGGCCTTTCGTGACTGATCTGATGTATTTAATTAAAGGCGATAATTAAACTGTGTCAAAGGGCATTAAGCTAAAGAACGAGTGGGATATGGGACAAGAGAACGGTTTTACGGTTGAGGTAGTCTTTGTGGCAGGTTGAGATTGCGATCAATAGAAATTTCCTCTACATTTGAGATCTGATGCTACAACTGGGAGGAAGGAAAGTCACCAGGGAAATTTTAGCTCAAGAAGAAAGCAACACATATTGTAACTTTTGTTTCAGTTGTGAAGGATAGCTTAGTAATCGGGGTGGACCCTTTCGCACTTTCGGTAAGTACTGGGGTGCTTTAGCAAAGCTTATTGGGAAATGAAATAATTACAAGTTCGCATGATCTTAATTTATTTTCTGCCTGTCTTTCTGCCTCGCCAGAGGAAGAAAAATTGATTTACAGAATGTTTGTATAACATGACAAGTCCACTGATGGAGATGGAGAATAATTGACGAAACCAATATGCTTGCTCAGGATACTTGGGTTGAAAGACGGGTCCTCTGTGTACACAAATTCATCACAGCTGAGGGTAGTCGTCGTTTTTTTAAATAATGCTTCACAAAAAATGTCGACCGCAGTGCTAAAATACTGTAGCCTATTTTTTTTTTGTAATGTAAACTTTAAAAAAAAATTTTTTTTTAGTTCATAAGTGAAGAGGACACATTACATCACATATTTTATGGTAGTAGAGGGCCGGATGTCTTCTATCGGAAGTTTGTCGACAGGTCAACAAGTTGAGGTTATTCGTTTCCATGAAGTAATGTTATCAAATCTTTTTCTGTGATTGCTGTTCAAAAGTGTTTAGTTGAAACGTAAATATGTCAGTGTAACTTTATCAAAACAAAAGAAAAAAATCTTTTGACTTATCGATAGGCACATGTCTATATTATTTACAACTCTTTGTATACAGCAGAAATTGAGAATGGATGTCAAAAGTGTCGCTATATGACGTCACTTGAACTGATCTCATTGGCCACAGCAGGAGTCTCAAGTCACCTTAACTTTTAATTTTTATAATGTTTTGAGAAATATTCTTCTCTGTGGATGCATCTATCGTCGTCAGACTTTGACGGACGAACCATTGTTATTATGATGCCACTGACTGCGAATTAATTTTTGACAATATAAGGGACAGTGGAAGAACGTTTTTTGAATATTATGATTTAAGCTCGAGGTCTTATAACTATAACCTAATCTCTTTCTTTGAATTTTCAAAGCGAACAGGCTCTTAGATCTAACAGAAAATGGACACAAGTGAACGTCAAATGGAATTTTCCTACTTTGTACATATTCTCGACACATAATGTTTGATGTAAAACTGACAAACTAGCTACAATGCTGTCTTGACAGTCATATGTTGTTTTTATCAATGACCTATGAAGAACAAAGATTCTTTTCCTATACAAGTGGCATTTCCTCTGACCCATGGGTAGTGTTTTGTAAACGTAATTTCAGGGCGGTACATCTACATGTAATACAACTTACAGTATTGCTCATGCCATGCTCTCGCTCTCTTCAAAAACAATGATGAAGTTTTCTGTAGAATGGAGACAAATTCGATATATTCATTCTGAAAAAAAAAATGCTTTTCCACGAGTCATGATCATTGCTTTTGCTTCCGAAAGACTTGTTCAGACGATTATGCAAAATTATCCTGGAAACGTGAGGAAGAAGAACATTAAGTGTTGACACAACTAGAAAAGTAGGCCCCCTTAGAGCAGCCACGTGATATTCTAGTTGGGTTTTTTTTTTATTAGCAAATGTTTTACGACCCTCGTAACTGCATAACGTCATATGAGCGCGCGTGACCGATCAAACGTTTTCAGTTGGTAGGACATTTTGAATTTTGTCCGAGTGGAGGCCGAAGCCTACTTATATCGATTTTAGACCACCAAGGGATCTTTAACGGGCCTAACTTGCACAAGGGACCTCAGAGATTTTTCGCCCTAGAAGGCTAGGTGTAGATCTTTTCTACCATAAGATCAGGGATGTGGCTGAAAGACAGCAGTAAGAAGGAACTAATGAGTAGCAGTAGAAAGGCTGCAGAAAGGACCAGAAGCCCTGAGGAGGGGGCAAA